ACTGCATTATTCACCGGGAGGCACAGGCCAATAAGAAAATGAGCCCCGAGTCAAACTGTGTTTTGAACGATGCAATTAAATTGATAAACTTCATCCAGTCCAGGCCTGTGAGTCACAGATTGTTTCAAAGTGTTTGTCAAGACATTGGATCATAGCATGAGCAGCTACTGCTTCATACTGATGTCCGGGGGCTATCCCATGGCAAAACCCTAGTGAGACGGTTTGAACTTCGCACTGAGGTATGTGCTTTTCTGAAGGAGCACCTGCACCCCCTTGCTTCACTGTCTGAGCACCCAGAGTGGGTTGCCCTTCTGGCATATCTGTTGTGTTCACCAAACTGAATGAACTCAACTTAACGCTACAAGGTAAAGACACACACATCCTGAACTGTATGACAAGGTGAATGGATTCATAAGGAAGGTCAAACTGTGGGATAGGAAATGAGAGGATAGAGATGAGAGCTGTTTCTCATTGCTTGATGCCCATCTTACCACTGACACAGACAGAGCTGCTGTAGTGAAAATTGTGAAAGCACATGTTTTCCAAACTCAACAGAGAGTTGAACTCATACTTCAGTGACATTGAGGTTTGCTAAACTGGACAGGGTCTGGAACCCTTTCAGTGTGACAGAGTAGCAGCAGCCTTCCTACCAGACTGCAGGAACATCTGATGGATGTGTCCGCAGACTGTGGGCTGAAGATGAAACATGCAGACAAGACCCTGACACAGTTCTGGTGTGCTGCGGAAAAAGAATACCCTGAGTTAGGGAAATATGCACTTGATGAACTTTTACCCTTTGGATCTACCTGCTCGTGTGAAGTGCCTTTCTCAGCTTTGACCTAAATCAAAACCAAGCAGAGGAACAGACTCAGTGTGGAGAACAGCCTGATTACAACCATGGCCACACTGACCCCAGAACTGTCAAAACGTTTGAAAGACAAGCAAGCTCAGGCGTCTCATTAAAGGGAGATGAATCTGCTTTGTGAGTCTGACTCTGTTTTTCACCCACAGTATCAATAATTGGTCTTTTGGTTGAAAGTGAATCATTATAATGATATCCAGTTCAATAATATTATTACTAATGTTGAATAATATCCAGTTAAATATCGGTTTAAATGATCATACTGGTTTGGTGTGGATGAGGGGGTACATGAGCCATATTGAAAGGGCTGTGGTGGTACATAACACAAAAAAGGTTGGGAACCACTGTTCTAAAGGACCAATGCTGCCATCTGTTGGCGATTGCCAAGCTGGCAAGTTCAGTGATGAATTGAGAAGAGCTTTATCAGTATAGGCTTGAATGTAAGAAAGGTTTGAAATAAGAATAGACCATTTAGCCCCTCGAGCCTGTCTGAGAGTTAGCTAATTGATTGATCATCATCAAGCCATTTCTTTAAACCAGGAAATCGGCCTCGCCAACAAATTTGACTAGCTTGTTCCATACCTCTGCAACCCTTTTTTGGTACAAAAGTACCTCCTTTTCTCCACTGTCTCCACTTAAACTAACACCACTGGGTTGACGCTGTTGAGGTTTTTGAGTGCTGGGATCAGCTCACCTCATGCTGTACTCTGTTGAAGACTGGAAATACGCTGTTTAGCCTGTCCAATACACACATCACATTGATTTTTTTTTTCAGTACTGTTTTCAGTAGTGGCTGTGTGATGCGTCTTTCTTTAACTGTTCGCAGATGTGTTAACCACTAACTCCAAATAACCGTGTGCAGCTTCTTAAAGCTGGTCTTTACACAAAAAAGCTGGTGTCACATGCTGCTGCTGAGATGTGCAGTTTGATGGTTTTTGTGTAACCCAATAGGTCATCAATATATTTGCTGTATTATGTACAAATTATTCAGAATTACTTGGCTGTTAAGAGTCTTAGTATAGATGACTTTTGCTTGTGAAGTTAAAATCCCTGGTGTGACACCTGACACCTGTTGTACCCCTGAATGAGGTAATTGTGTCAGTAAAAACACAGTCTCTTTGGATAAATAGCACCAGCCAAATAAATTAGTAATAATTAGATGAGTGATGTAGAGACACTTTGTATCCACATAACCAGATTATGAGCTGAAGGTAAGCATGAACGTTTTGTGTATTTAATGAAAGGCTGGCTCTTTGGTGTTTTTAATAGGCTGAGCACAACTGTCTGTTAATATTGAGAATATTGAACAAATATTGAGAATAAACTAAACTGAATAAGCCTTTAGATTTTAATACTTCATAGTGTAGTGACCCTAACCTGGTAATGTTTTCATTCATACCTGACTCCAACATTTCTGAAAGAGAATCTGACATCTAAGTTAAGATATATAGCCTGCTCCTTTTCCTTTATTAAAGTAGATTTTTAAAAAGTTTTCAAATGGGTGTCTGTTGGGTTGACATTTACTGGCCTCTAGTGGTCAGATTGCGTGCTACAATATGAACATTGTACTAACATATGGCATTTATGGAGTGCCCCTTCCGATATCTTCTCAGATTAGAGTGTCAATCTAGGAACTTCATATTTAAACTGTAACTCCAGTCATGATGGAGGCATCAAAACCTTAAGTGTTTAATAAATGTCTGTTCGTGACTTCTCTAGTAGTTTTGTCTTGTAGACCCCATGAATTTGGTCTGTGCTGCAACCACCTGACCTTGACTTGAGATGATGACGTAATGGCTGCAGCTCCAAACACAGTCCATTTCCTCTGGTCTGCACGTGCATTATGTTTACATATTTTATCACACTCTCTTTACAGGCCTTTAAAGTTGTTCGGGAACAGGCGTAAAAAAACCCGTTCAATGTGACAATTATGGGTTTTTTTTTCCATTCGATCCCTGTGTGAAATCGCAAAATAAACCTATTTAGTTGGAGTAAAAATCTGCCAAAGAGTGTGACATCTAAGTCTTTTCTAAAATAATCCTTTATTATTTAATTGAAATGCAGTTGCATGTGGATTTCGAAAGAGAGCTGGCCCAGAATGTTATCTTAATCTATACCTGTTAATTGCTGCAGAGGGAGACAAGTAATGCATCATTTAATACATCTTTTTTTCTGGTTTGTGTTTTTTGGCCTGCATGTAAAACAAGAATCGGACATTAGTAAGTCTGTGCTTCAGTGTTACTCGAGCAAGTGGCTGAACTGTTTTGCGTTTGTGTAGATTGAAGAAGATCCATTTTACTCTAATTGCATATCCTGTTCTGTAACAAAAATTAAAAGTATTTTCTGTGTGTGTCCCAAGATCACAGGAATTTCAAAACAACATTGAGGTCAGTTAGATGTTTAGCAATAACACAAATAACATGGTGTGGAACCGTTATCTGGATCGTTACTCCTGAAAACCTGAATTTGAGGGGCTGAAGTCAAGCTAAGCTACAAATTGAATGACAACTAAGGGCCGTCTTTTCCGTTTTTTTTACAGAGACAATAAAGCTGTATATTTTTCATTCTTTACCGTGTGTATTTGTTGAATACTATGTGAGCTTCCTATGAATCTTTGCTTACAATGTACTGTACACTGTACATAAAGGATGTCAGCTGGATACATCATAAAGTCACTTTTTACATCAGACTTTTTCCTGAGGTTTTTATTTTCAGGGTGTTTAAAATTATTCAAAAAACGAGCCAAATTCTGAATTTGGCAAAATTTTGCAGTCCTGTGTTTTGTTCATTAAGGCTTAGGCTTTGAATTCAAAATGAAATGAAGGAACGAGTCCTCATCCTTCATTGCCAAATGGTTTAGGGGTTTGCTTAAAAAAATAAAGCAATCCAATTTATCTTGATAACTTCCCTTTGTGCCTGGAAACTAGTTTAAAGACTCCCGTCTTTGAAATCTAAGATGCAGGCGTGTTTCTGTTGACTGGCATGTGTACAGTGCTGCTTTATCTTCCTTAAATAGGCCTCCTCCCGATGCCCAGCTCCCCCAGTAGTTAAGATGTTACTTTTCTTGACAGAATGCTTCTGCTATCCCCTCATGCTTCCTGCATCTCAATTATATGTCCAACAATTAATGCTGTGCCAAACCCTGACACTCTCCACCGTTCTGCGTTCCGAAAGGGGCCCTTTCCTGACCCCCCATCTTTCACTCTGCCTTTTCCAGTTAATTCAAAGCGTTAACGTTCTTGGTCACGCCAGGCTCTCCTTCACCAGCAGAGCGGCTCAGACATTCTCTTCCTGTCAAGGAGCTCGGAGGTTTCCTTGTCACACCCTGCTAGGGCGGAGCTGGGGAGGGCACTGTCCACTTCTCTGAGATGATTATGTGGGATGGGGGTGCTGACAGCCCTGACAGCTGGTCCCCACAGAGCTTTTGTGATCTGATTTTGGCCTCCCTGCATTTTTTTTATTTTTTTTTTCCACCACCCTTTTATCTGCCTGCATGAATGAAGCAGTGCTTATTCCCTCTTTTGTGCCGATCTGCATGCCATAGAGGACACAAAAACTAGACCCCCAGTGAAAGCAGGTCCTCTTAACAGGCTTTAGAGATTAACACCAGTTGCTCATGGTTTCCCTGCCTTGGTTTTCTGCTTGTCTGTGACTGGCAACTGTTCTACTCTTTCCAAATAATTAACCCACTACTGTTTCTTTTTTCCACTGAGTGAGGTACTCCCGCACTCCGCAGCAAAGATGGCAGCAGAATCTTACCTTCCAGTAGTGCTCTTCTATTCTGCATAGAGAGCAGTCCTTGTTTTAACCAGCAGGTGGGCGCTGTAGAGTTAAATGTCTTGTTTCAGACTTTCAGCTGGTTAGAAAAGATCTGTTTTATTCTTTGTGTTTGCTTCATGCTGTAGTGCTGCTGTTGTTTACTAGGGTATAGATGTGGCCCATTACAGAGAAGAGCATGCCTCTTCAGAGGATAATGCTCAATTACTCAGTTGTTTATTTCAATACGGTATAATGATCATTAAAACTCAATTAGTGTTTCAAGAGCGCACGTGTCTTATATGCCATTGGAACTTCACTGTTGTTCCTCTACTGAAGCTTGTTTCCTGATGTTTCGTTCTTCCTGTTTTATATTCTGTAGGTACCAGTGACCCCTACGTCAAGTTTAAAATGGAAGGCAAGACTTTTTACAAGAGTAAAGTTATGTACAAAAACCTCAATCCAGTGTGGAATGAATCCTTTTCTTTGCCTCTGCGGTGCTTGGAGCAGAAACTCTATATCAAGGTAAGCGCTGGGGCTTTAGATGTTGGGAGGGTGTCTCGGTTTGGCCCTCGAACTGGGAAGTGGAAACAAAGCCATACAAGCTTTTTACAGGAGCAGAAATGTGTAGTTTACCCTGAGTAAGGTGTGGTCATTTTAATGTGGTAAGGAGACCTGTGGACTCACTCCTCTGACACGGCCTCCTGACAGAGCAGCTCCTTCTTTGTGGAACTTACTGAAAGTTACAGGAAAGTTGGCATCGATCACAGGAGTGGCATGTGTCTTGTTGACATTACTGCAGGCACCCCAGCTAGGGTCCTAGGGGCAAAAGCCAAGAGCCGATAGTCGGGAGAAGACGCATCCCATGCTCATTTAATTGTCTTCAAGTGGCCTCGTTAATCAGTTAGAGCCGTAATGCCATTGCTAATAAATTATAGTCTTGGATGCAAAAAAGAAGCAAGCTCACTGCTCCCCAGTTCCAGTGCTGGCAATCCCAGTTCGGGAATTGCAGCAGAGAATTATTTGGACGACGAGTACGCATTTTCTGTAATCTGTTCTGAAAAGGCGCTTGGACCTGCGATTATTCTTGTGCGCTCTCTAGGTCTATGACCGGGACCTGACCATGGACGACTTCATGGGCTCCGCCAGTGTGTTGCTGAGCGAACTTGAACTTGACAGGTTTGTTCTGGTAGATTTAAGTCTTGAGCAGAGTTTGTTCACTTCTGGGCAGGCGTTTTGTAGCAGCTCAGCAGGAATATGCGGTGTGCCCAAAATCTCTAGTGTATCTTTCACAGGTAAAAACACTTCACAGCACATATTCTGTTGGGGTTCTGGCCAGCTTATTGCACTTTGGAAAATTGTCATGATTTCAAAGTTTTCCTTTTATAGCAGAAATGATTTAGTTTAGGTTGTAGCTGAAGCGTATTTATATCCTGTAGAACATTTTGCATTTTTATCTTACCACTGTCGACATTGTTAAAACGCTGGCTGAAAATCAGACTTCTAGACTCCCAGTTCTTCGCCCTTTAATATTAGAATCCCAGAGAAACAACCTCACAAGGCAATTTCCTTGCTTACTTCCTTTCAGACATTATGAGAAGGTTCTTCCCCTGAGTGATCCCAACAGCCTGGAGGATGACATGGGAGTTATCGTGTTGGATGTGTGTCTGGCGCTCAGAGATGGGGAGAGTAAGAAGAATTTGGTAAGAGCATGTCAAGCATTACAGCCACACAGCTGAGTGTGTTTACTCTGAAGGAGAGATGACCAGATGCAGATTCTAAACTGGAAGACTGTCAGAAGAAAAATGATTGATTCAGTGTGATAAAAACAGAATAGCTATATATTTATGCTGTCTTTTTCTTCTCTCTCTCTCTCTCTGCGCCCTCCTCGTCATGGTGCAGAGGTGGCCTCCCAGAAGAAAGCGAGGCAGCATGAGGGTACGTAAATGTCAGTGAATCAGAACTGGGCCAATGCAAAAACAGAAACTATAAATCTGAGTTATAGACTTACGAAAAAAACTTGGGTGTTTACCTTAAAATGTCATGTAGATAGTGTGAAGAAGCATTTAAAAGAAAATACACATTTTAGGATACATACACTAGTTAAAAGCATTTAAATCAATTCATGTTGTGTTAAAATTGTATTCCTGGGCTCGCAAGGCCTCTTGTAGAATATCAAGTACATTTTGGTCACCATGTTAAAGAAAAAGATATTCTGCCCTGGAACTAGTCCAGTGAGGAACCATAGACATTTGGGGACTTAAGCAAGTGTCCTACACTGACAGGCTGGAAGAGCTGCACCTTTATAGTCTTGAACAGAGAAGATTGCAATGGAACCAGAGAGAAGTATTCCTATACCCCCAAGGCATTGACAAAGTCAGCCCAGCAGGTTTCTGAACAGCCGACGGTGACGCGCACACTGGAGGTCAGGGAACTACTGCACATGGGAGAGCGTTTGAAACTGAGAACGGGGGGCTCTCTTTCCCTCCCGGGTGCATGGGAGTGTAGAACAGGCTGCCCAGCCATCTTGTTGAAGCCGATACTCTGGCTTCTTTCAGTGAATGAATGAGATACTGGGAGGGATTAGCTACAGAATTGCAGATGGGCTGGAAGTGTGGGATGGCTCCTCTTGCTCCTCTTGCTCCTAACTCTGCTTATGGATATGGAGAAGGGAATTTATACACACCGGAAACAAGGAGGAGTTTCTGATAGATCTTCTCAGTATTTTAAAAAAGTATTATAGCTGGCTTTGAGAAAATAAGGTTCACATTATACTGTATATCACATTTACAATGATTGATTTTAAGTGAATATGACTGAAAGTGTAACATAATGTTTGGAAACATTACAATGTTATAGCAAAATCTAAACTCACTTCAACGATTTATTCCATTCAGAAGAAAGTCAGCTTGATGCAACTACTGTACTTCCATTTGTAATAATGGTTCTCAGCACAAGGGGGCAGTAGTTCAATGGTGCTCAATGAATATACAAAATAGAAAATTGATGTAAAACTTTGTGCACCAATAAAATGCATTTAAAAATGTAAATAATGGAAAACCACTGTAAAAAGTTATGTTTTTAATCTTTAGTTTATTTTAATAGCTGTGTAAAAATGGTGATAAAAAATCAAAGTGCCTTAGATTGGTCTGATATTTTTTGTTTGCAAATTTAGTTATAGTTCACTGAACCCCAGACTGAGGGTTTGAAAGAGTCTTCACTGCAGCTTCCTAAATAATTATGCACCATTTAAACAATATGACATGTTTAGATCACTGTAATATATGATCTTATTTGCATTTTAATTAAGCACAAAAAATGAGCAAAGCCTTCCTTGAGTTTACAGCAGATATGGCTTAATCTCATTTTTAAAGCAGTAAGCAATAAATTTAATTCATTTAGGTTGAAATAGGAGGCAGTTAAAATGTTTTCTGGACTGAAGCTGCCTTTCATTATCTTAGCTGAGGGTTTATTATATAGCACAGCAGCCCGCCTATACATCTGCTTCCCTTTAATCTCTAGATAGACTGGTAGATGAATTTCAATTTTATTTTAATTGAAAAGAAAAAGACAAAGCGCTCTTTTCATTTATCTGCTCCTAGATGGATAGATAGATAGACAGCCAGCCAGCCAGAGGAAGGCAGAGCTGCCTGTTCCTGCACTGCTGGAGAAATAAAAAGAATCAAAAAGAATCTTCTAAAGACGTTGGAAGTAGTTTATTATCCGTTATTTTACACAAAACCATCGATCTCGTGTTTGAATTCCTCTTTGACAAGAAGGGATCGCAAGAATACTGGCTCTTTGCGTCTCAGAATTTTACACCTTTTGAACATCGTTTACATCTGCAGCGCTCTTGTCCTCCTGCAAGCGCGCTTTTCGAAATGGATCTAGGGGCTGGGGGGGTGGGGGGGCTCTGCTTGCTGGCCGGCCGAGATATGAGAAGTTGATTGTTCCCAGGCACCGTGAGCTATAATCCAGATGTTGGGATGTAATATCACAGCTGTGGGTGGATGGGGCTGAAGTGCCAGCCAAGCTGGCCCTCGTTTGAGCTCATCCTGCTCGTCCCATGCTGTTCCGCCATATGGAAGCAATCCCGGTCCTCTTTTAGAACCAAGAATAGACACTCTTTACAGGCCTTTTGCTAATAAATGGAATTGTTTTATTGGCCAGCGGGATAGAAGGCTATCCAAGACAAATGCTTTCCGATGACATGGTCTGGCTTAGCTTTGGATTTTTTTCCCCTGCCTTTCTTTTTTGTTTTAAGGTGGATGTTTATCGAGAGGTAACGGTAGTGTTTGTGGGGATCCTTTACCTCTCACTGGATGGTTCCCCCCAGTGTCTGGAAAAGGGAGATGGCAAAAGAGAGGAAGCGTGAGCGCTTGCTTGGTGGAGAGGTAGCAGCGTGGCGAAGGAGGCCGATCACGGCTCCCTGTCTTAATTGCACCGAGATGTGCACAGCCTCTTCGTTTGTGGCTGGTATCACTGTCATTATGAGATGTCAGTCTCGCAGGGTGACTGTCCTGCTAGGAGTCCTCCACCTGAATCGGGCAGCCACACAGGAAAACAAATATATTGCAGATAAATAATAGGTTTATTCCATGCTGAAAAGAGAAGAAAGAAAACACAACGTTTCGGCCGTGAAGCCTTAGAAGGCTCCACGGGCGAAACGTTGTGTTTTCTTTCTTCTCTTTTTAGCATGGAATAAACCTATTACTTGTTCCTTTGCAGCCTACGCATGCGGATGCAGCTACCCACCTGAACTATATTGCAGATATATACTGTGGACCATGTATACTGCATACTGTGTACAGTCAAACCACCAGTACTGTTGTGCTCATTTTCTTATCTTTTTGCTTTAAGTATTTTCTTAATCATTTTTCTTCATCTTTCTTTAAAACGCTCTGAGCAGACCCCTTTCACTGTGTGCTCTGCTGCCTTCCTCCCTCTGTGTGTAGTTGAAGAGGCCTGGAAACGGGTCTGGTTAAGAATAGGGGAGCTCCACAGCAACTGGCAAACAAAGTTCAGAAGAACATTTCAAAATTCTTTGTTCATTCTAGAGAGAAATTTGTGAGGTTCTGCATTTAGGTCGATATTGGGCAGGGGATTCTGTGCAATTACAGTTCCAATGTTCCTCTAGTGTGCGAGTTGCAGTGTCTGAAAACAACAAAGTTTATTCAGTCCTTGTCCCTCAGTGAATCCTCAAGGGCCAGAGTCTGTTGGTTTTACAGACACTGTTTAAATAGCAAGATGGTGATGTTTTTGACCTAAACTTTGTTTTCCAGTTTTCAATTAAGTATTTGAGAGCACGGGTTGAGTTAAAACTACCCTACGTCCCTCATGGACTGGAGAGAGCCAGGCCTGCCATCGAGATTTGTTTATATTGCAAACTCATCTTGCATGAAACTAGCTGAAAAATAGAAATCCAGCTCTGTATTTCTACGAAGTGTGTTTTGAGGGGGGTCATTATTGTCCTGCCCAGTCAGGTGCTTCCCAGATGGAACAGTGTGACAGACTCAAATTGAGCAACGCCTCTGCTCATCTGATTGGTCTTGATTTTAAGATGAACGGTGACGAACGAGTTAAGTCTTTTGTGCTTTCTCGTACCTGTGTATTTCGTCCCTCTCTAAACATCTGGCTTAATGCACATGGGCTGCCAGTGCCTTTTCCCAGTGAGCCTGTGATGTGGCTTCGGGAGCAGGGCTGTGCTCTGGCACCTGTGGCTGTGTTCCTTGGTGAAACCCCTCTCTGCTCGCTGGCTTGCTTCACAGTCGAACATCGTGCAGAGCAGCCCGGGCCTGGCCGAGACGCTGCGGAAGAGCCAGTTGTGGAGTGGAGTGGTCAGCATCACGCTGGTGGAGGGCCAGGACATGCTGGACGATGGCACTGGGGAGGTCTTCATCCGCTTCAGGCTGGGAGACCAGAAATACAAGAGCAAGGTACTGTTCTCTGGCTCAAACCTTTGCACAGTTAAACATTGCACAGCTTTTGATAAATGTCATCCCCTTAGCTTGCTGTGAAGGCCTCAGGCCTCATGCCTCAATGTGTCTGAGCTCACTGGGACCTTCATGGAACAAATTCTTTCCTTTGCCCTTTATTATTAATCCTTTCGGCTCATACAAGAACCAGCAGACTGCGCTATTCGGTTGGTAAAATTCAAATTTTACAGCAGGTTACCCAATTGCTGAATGGGAAGACAGAAGCAAATAATTAGTCCGTTTGTGGCTTCAGAGGCAGAATTGACTGTGTTGTGGAACATAAGCATGCTGGAGTGAGTGTCAAGGCGGTATTTGGGAACATGGGGATTCATCTGTCCATCACAGGACTAATGCCTTAATCATGGATTTCCAGCAGGATAGAGGAAGAAACAAAGAGAGCATGTGACCATCTTACCAGTCCCACTGGGGTTTCTTCATGAAATCCTTCTTTTCATCAAATTAAACCACTTCAGTCCTGTGTGATGGAAGTCTGAGAATGGAAGAAATTTGCTTCATTATTAAGGCTAATTGCAATTGAAGCTAGTCAATTTTTACATCTTGGAAAAAGAATAAGAGGCGTGCTAAAATGTTCCCCTTAGCTGTTTGAAAAATGAATTCGGCTGTTAAGATGTTTTCTAAAAACATTAAAACACTGCGATTCTGTGCTCGTGTTTCTCCGTCTTGACTGGTGGTCTCAGCGGATTGCCTTTCGCCTTTGTGCTCTCAGAACGTGTGCAGGAGGGCGAAACCTCAGTGGAGAGAGAAGTTTGATTTCAACCAGTTCCAGGACGGAACTGTGATGCTGGAGATCGAGGCTTGGGCCAAGGAGGGCCGGAAATGGGAAGAGATCATTGGGACGTGAGTGCCACAGCTTCGTTATTAAATTTGTCAGTGTGGAACGTGACCCTGGATAAGTCCAAGGTAATGTTGGAAGAGGCTTGTTCAGTTAAACAAATACATTAACTGGTCAGTGTCAACTGTCTTATGAATTCTTTTATTTCTGGATACATCTGTTCTCTTCGTATCTCTAAACAATAGTGCGATGTCTGTGCTCTCTTTGCTCCAGCTGAGCCTTATAGTTGCTGAGACTTTTTAGTAAACCGTTCATTCTGTCCTCAACTTGGTTTAATGAATCCCTGCACCCTTAGAGCTCTCTAAACAACTTTACTATTGCTATTACCGGTTTATAGAGCACAGTCACAGGTGGGAATAACCCTTTAAAACACTGTCATAGTTGCATTCGTTTTATGTGGGTCTGCTTAAATTCTGGACTGCTGTTCATTGTAATTCTATATATTATATAGAGTGTAGGGGAGTTCTTAAATCTAGCAGATGGCACAGGGGCAAATGCTAATTTCTCACCTCTGCAGATGTTTAAGAATTGGAAGCCATGACACAGTGTATGTGAACAGGGGAGCCCTGGAGCGCAGTCCTAGCTCTTCCTGCTCCCTTCGTTTCTTCTGGCTAGATGCGATCTAGACCTGTCCATGGAGCCGGTGAACGAGACCAGGCCCCACACCAGGGTGCTTCGGGACAGGAACAATCCAGGGGAGAGCCGAGGGAAGGTGGTATTTCTGGTCAGCCTGGCTCCGTGCACCGGCGTCTCCATCGGCGACCTGTGCGACCCTCCTCTGGAGGAGCCTGCAGAGAGGACGCAGATACTGGAGAGATACGTGAGTACTGAGGGGGCACGGCGGAGGGGGCATGAGCATCTGTCTCAGGTGCTCTGTACGTCGCAGCGCTGCCACTCACAGGAGTGAGCCTGTCCCCTGCCTGGATGGGAAACCTCCTGGGAAAGCTAAGGTTGCTGCTGGAAGAGGTGTTAGTGGGGCCAGCAGGGGGCGCTCACCCTGTGGTCTGTATGGGTCCTAATGCCCCAGTGTAGTGACAGTGTAGTGTAATAAGGCGCCGTCCTTCGGGTGAGACGTAAAACTGAGGTCCTGACTCTCTGTGGTCATTAAAAAGGCCAGGGAGTTTCTTGAAAAGAATAGGGGTGCAACCCCGGCATCCTGGCCAAATTTCCCATTTGCCCTTACCAATCATGGCCTCCTAATAATCCCCATCTATGAACTGGCTTCATCACTCTGCTCTCCTTCCCACTGAGAGCTGGTGTGTGGTGAGTGTACTGGTGCACTATGGCCGTTGCCACATCATTCAGGTGGGGCTGCACCTTGTGGTGGTGGAGGGGAGTCCCCATTACCTGTAAAGCACTTTGAGTGGAGTGTCCAGAAAAACGCTATACAGTATAAGTGTAAGCAATTATTATTATTATTATTATTCCCCACGTTTTTTCCTCCAGCTGCAGACGCAGCTTCTCCTTTTCAGATTGATAGTAAAATCTGGTGGAAAAGGCTTTCCAGCAGGTTAGGTGTTCCAGTAGTTCAGGAACATGATTGGTTATTGGGGGGGCTCCCAGTTCAGCCTCTTATGCAGCCACTGGCTCAACAGGTCACCCCAGTCACTGCAGCTGACAGCCGATTCCCTGTCCTCTGGATGAGGTGCTGATGGAAGGGATTGGGTTCTAGTTTATAATCCCCCCTTGTCTCTCGGAGCTGCTTTGGATAATTGTTGTTACTACTGTACATCATTAAATACATCTCTGATTCATTTCAAAGAAACAATAAAATCAGTGCTTTTCAACACTTTTCAACACTTATTAATGTCTTCTTAGATTACATATGTTTATGACTATTTTTAAGACTTAGAAAGTCTTAAGATCCTTTGTTTGTTTTATTCATTTTTAGAGAGTTGTATGATCTTAGGTGGCACAGCAAATTACCAGAAAGGTTTTTTAATTTTACTCAGCATTTTCTTCTGCATCTCATTTATGTCAATTGCATGGTTCATTTCTTGTGTGTTACAAATCTTTTTAAGAGATCTTTACTAGCATTTGTTTCATGCTTTGTTTCTCCAGTGCTTGAAGAACTCATTAAAGAATTTAAAAGATGTCGGCTTCCTTCAAGTGAAGGTGATAAAGGCCACGGATCTCTTAGCAGCTGACTTAATAGGTACTGTATCTCTGAAATTCTTATTTCAAAAGAAGAGTGACATTCTGTTTCTTGAGGTGTAATATTGTTCCCAAACTCGGGCAGCTGCAAGTTACAGTATCCTGATGTATGTCCCACACTTTTCCCATTAAAAACACATTTGTGTTAGAAAAATCAAGATAGATGACAATCCAGTGATAAAAAGCAAACTATTCAGTATTTGAGCAGCAGAGAATAGAGACAATATTTTAAAAATAAGGAGCCTGTAGAATTATAAGTTGTCTTAAAAAAAGTCTTTGACAGAACCCTGCCAGTATTTGCTGTTTATTCTGAGAGAGTACGGATTTGACAAAAGGGACAGAAGCAGGAAGACCTCTGCATCTCATTTGTGTTGTGTGTCATGCAGGGCCTGATTCATGGTTGTGCAGGAGTACTGGGGCATTTGTTTTGGGAGGGGTAGTCAGCTTTTCACATATTATATCTTGCTTCCTTTGAGTTGTGCTCAATGTGTTGTATTTCTACATTTTTCTTATGGTTTGAAAACTTCTGTGCTGCAGTGTCTGTCCCATGTACTGTATATGATTATTCTGTTTTTAATGCGTTGTACTGTCCTTTTGAATTGTCTTAACTTCAGGACTGTGAAATATTTCAATATTTTTTTTTGTCTTTGCAGGAAAAAGTGATCCTTTTTGTATGTTAGAGTTGGGGAATGACCGGCTTCAAACTCACACAATATACAAGAACCTCAACCCAGAGTGGAACACTGTTTTTACTTTGTAAGTGACCGAATATGATAAGATTGTTCCTTCTCCATTTTCAGTATAATCTTAGAATACATTAAGCAGTTTGCAAGATAGAATGGAGATACAGTTCCTGGAAATGAAATTTTCAGGCCATCACATGAGATTGGGCAGTTGTTTGTGCAGAAAAAAGTTGTTAGGCTTTGTTGTTATTAGACCTTAGTCCTACAAGATTAACTCTATAAAGAACTGGTGCTTATACAATGTGACGGAATCCTTGTGTTATTTTTGCAGTCCGATCAAAGACATCCATGATGTACTAGAAGTGACCATATTTGATGAAGATGGAGACAAACCTCCTGATTTCCTAGGAAAAGTGGCCATTTCCTTACTGTCTGTAGGTATTGTTTGGTAATCTGTATACTTTGGTTTTTTATTCTTCAGTCCCTATCCCATAATTATGATTCAGTTTTTAATTTAAACTGCTTCAGCCTGACTCAATGTACTAATGCGCAGCAAACATCTTATCACAATGTGTCTGTAGGAGGCAGGTTCGGCCATGTGTCACCATTCCTAAAACACTATTGTCTACAGTGGTAGTTGAATTAGACCTGATAACCATTGCATTATGATTTTTGTATTATATAATTGCTTAATTCCAGTTAATTTTTTTTTTAGAAATTTTACCTACATTGTACAGCTGGTAGAACACCATCAGAATTGATATCATAATAATCTGTTAATAGTAATTTACAAAATGGGTTGGCTACTGTACTGAGCAAAGTTTGATGCTGCCTGTACAGGGGTAATTTTGTTTCAAGTGCACTATAGGACCTGTATTTATTTTGACCATTTGTTTTCCTTTTTTTAGGTACAAAACAACCAGCAGATTTCCTACATGTTGAAAAATAAGGACTTAGGGGGGCCAACAAAAGGGAATGTGGTTTTGGAAATGGAGGTTATTTTTAACCCTGTAAGTAAAAATCAGGTATTACTCATATTCATAACAGGGTGCTGCTCATACATCCATTTTTAATGTCTAATAAATTGGCACCTTTATTGCACTGTTTTTTTGCCTGGAAACACTTGTTGTCTATTATTTCTATTTTTTTTTTTTTTAATTTAATACACTCTCTGGGAATGAATAGTGTGTTTTAAAAGACTGTGGTAAGCAGAAGAGATAAACTTCTACTCTGTAATGGCCATCTGTAGCAGGCCCAAAGAAGCAGAGCAGAGGTGTAATGACAACTTAGCCTGGATTGTGGAACAGATGGCAGCAAGATCGACCAGTCAGAATGTTGAAATAGGTGCAGCAGTGCACAGCTGCTGTAGAATAGCCTATTGCTTCTGCAGTGTGATGCACTGGCCAAGTGAAATCAGAGTTCTGTTAACAAATTATCTCATGCACTAGTTAAAACAGGAGCTTTATTGATACTGATTTTATCAATGGCCTTCATATGCTGTGCATACAATTATTACAATTGTGAGAGAAAAAGAGAATGTGCAGATGACTTTTTTTTAGAAATGCCACATTGTCCATCTCCATGTATGTACGTCATGAAATCATGGGTTTTCACTTGTACTACAATGTTGTTATCCAACTGTCGGGTTGCATTTGGAATCAAAAGCTGATTTGAGTTTCACATTACAAGAAAATGTCCGTAACCATATTGGCAAATATGTTAGTGTTTTGAACTTATGTCGTGTCATTTGAATTTTATTTTTGTGGACACAACTCAATAAATGAAAATTCTTGTTTTCCCGATACATCTGCTGTGACTGGTATACTGTTGGCGTCTGCCTTTAGCAATGATTAGGCATGGCAGAGTGCAGGTCTAATCTAATCCATTTCAATGGGCTGCTACTCAGTCATGCTTTTGAGTAAAGAGTATTAAATTGAAAAAGTGGAATAACTCGACTTAGAGTTAAAAGAAGATTGACTACTGCTTCTCAGCACACTATATTAAACTTCAAACTTTTGTGATTACTTTTTTTAAAAGTGCACAAAACCCAAAACAAACCCATTAACTGAAAGATCTGTGCGTTTAGGTTTTGCGCCTTAACTTAAATGTTTTAGGCAGAGAAAAGTCTGCTAACAATATCATTGTTGAATTTAAAATGTGACCCCTTTATGCACGTACCTAGATAATCCCTTTCTGCTTGCTCCCTGTTAATAAATATGTTTTCTTTCATTAAGGCAGTTCACCAAAGCAAAGTCTAGACATTTTTTCACTTGCTAAACCAGCAGTTGTTCAGTGCGTGAAACATTGAACAAAAAGTGATAATCAATGTTCTTCAGGGAATGTGACTAAAAAAGTAACTTGTACTGCTTTGACGTTTTCTAGTGTCTGTTTTAATTACAGATCTAAGAATATTCAGTGCATTCGGTGCAAACTCAGAGCATGTGTGGAAATTAAATGTTTTCTTCTCGGGATTGTAGCACTTGAATAATGTTTCTGGCTTTGATGTCTTCCAGGTGAGAGCAAGCATCAGGACCTTCAAACCGAAGGAAATGAAATTCATGGAGGACAATCCTAAGTTTTCCAAAAAGGTTTGTTTTGTTTTTTTAAACTTTCTGTTCAAGATTTGGAGAAGCAGTGCTGATGGTAAGGGCATTAAACTTTGAACATGATTGTTAAAGACAGTCTAGGTCCTGCTGGTTCATGCCATTAGCTAGATGTGATATGGATGTCTCAAGTGGTAAAGCACAGCTGACCAGGGGCTGCCAGACTGGAGCGGTCTTGAGGTGGCCAGGGTATCCTCAGCTTGGTACTCAGCTGCCAGCCCTGTGACTTTCTGGGTTCTTGTGAGTTTGCAGTGTCGACAGTTATTGGTGCATCATTGTTCCAGCTGGTGCTGCACTGCCTGTCAGGGCTACATCACCCTACACTAACAGGGTAAATAACAGGAAGGACTATGTTTGGAATTGTTCTGAGTGTTCAGAAAACTCAAAGATGTTGACAGAAAGTAGACAGTACACTCAGTACTGAAACATGCACCAGAGGTCACAAGTAGAAGATGTGCACAATTATATTTAAATCTGAGAATAGGAGGCACCTCTTTATACATAAAGTTGTGAGCATGTGGAACAGACAACCGAGCCATATTGTTGAAGCTGAAAACCTCTGGCCTGAAGAAACCGCAGGATGAGATCTTTGGCTCAAACGAGCTAGATGGACAGACCACCTCTTGCTTCTGACCTTTCATAACGCTCAGTGGGGCTCAGTGCTCAAATGAAGGATAGAACCAGAAAGTGGAGTCTATTAAAATAATTTCCCATTTTAAATGAGGATTTTTATAAAAATGAACTCCAGCAAGGATTTGTTTACTAGTGACAAAAAAGCTATAAAAACCAAATGACACGATGTGTACTTCATCCCAGTCATTGCCATGTCTTCTCTTTCAGCCCGAGTGTTGAGAGGCGTGCAGTGAGTTTTACAGTCAGTTGTGTGCAGTTAGTTCAGTGGGAAGCAGATTCCAAGCCATGATGTTGTCTCATGTATTTTAATGTGAAAAAAGCACATTCAGCACCTAGGATGTAGTTCCTTTAAAACTTTATTGTTGTAAACATCAATGTGTGTGTCAGCTTATCTCCTGTAAAGACAGGAATTTGATTTGTATTTTCAGATTCATTTAATTCTATTTTGCTTATTTATTTATTTTTTGCTCGCCTGAAGAAGCTCGCTGCAGCTGAAAACTGAGAAAAGTAGCTCATTAGTGGGATCCTTTTTAAAGAACTCTATAAAACTTATAATAAACCTAGCATCCTGTCAAAAAAATTAAATTATATACAGGCAGAACACCTATCCTTGACCTTACTGTCTAAACTGTTGTATTTCTCTTTCCTTATTTCCTGTCAGATTTTAGCAAGAAATGTGTACCGTGTTAGAAAAATCACCAGGGCGGTCCTGCATACGATCCAGTATATTAAAAGCTGTTTTCAATGGGAAAGCTCACAAAGGAGCCTAATAGCTTTCTTGGTAAGTAATTTAGCTTTCTTCACTGCATTCATAGTTAATGAATATGAATAGCCCTTTGGCTGTCTGTATGATAATCTTTTCTCATGCCCTACATTAAAGTGTGCTGCATTTTAACACTTGCCTCTCCTGTCCAAGATCACCTTCTTTTGGAAATGTCTTGTATTGTTTCATTACTTTAGTTCTAACAAGTTTAAAACTGAAGGAAAACTTGTCTTGGTCAGCAGACACTAGGTTCTCAATCTTTTTTAATGAGAGAAGGTATGGATTAAGACTTCTGAACTTTCACGTAATGTAGTTGTTGTCGGCGTGTGAGATTTACTGTACCTTGAATATGATGTTTTGGTTTCATAACAAAGATGTTCATATTGAGCAAGAATCCTTCAGTCTCCAATCCTGTTCCCAGGATTCTAGTTAATCCCGTTTTCCACTGAGATCTAACTGTGTTATTTAAACCAGTTAGTTGCAGTACCCAAAGGCAAGTGTTCTTCGTGTTCTACAGGTAGTTTGCCAAAAGTAACTGATTAGCAGCTAAAAAAAATGGGTAATTCAGCTTCTCATTGCAGTAATTACTTCAATAAGGGAATTAAGGTCAGAAATGAAATGAAAATCAGAGGATTGTGCTGATTAATCTGAAACTACAGATTACTACAGATTAATTAGAGAAGTATGCATACATGCATTGATACATTAAGTGCAGCAAGCGCCTGTTGGATGAGTGTGTAATGTACAGTAGCAGTCTTGCCAAATTCTGCTTTCTGATCGCTGACAACTCCTTTCTTTCTGAATGTGAATTCTGTTTTGGAAAATACAAATCCCCACATTCTACAGTACACAACACTGAGATCCTAAACCTGGCTGGTGCACTGTCCCAGACATGGCTCGGGGAGCATGGCTCTTCACCCCAGCTCAGGTGACGGTTTTGGCTGCTTTCATGCAGCATGTTACACACAACTTGTGCTGAGGTGTCTTACAAGCTTCACTGTGTACATTCCCAAGTGTACATAATTAGCAAAACCTGTCCCCTGCCTATTATAGGGAGTGAAAAAGAGCTCTCAAGAGATTTGGATCATATGATAGAGGTCCTGTTTGTTAAAGCCAGAGGCATTGCGGTTGTTAGGGGTCTTTTTATAGAGGCTGGCGGTGTGACTGTATTGGTGATCCAGCACCCTGGGCAATACTGGGCTGACCTCAGTCAGACACTGCAGTCTACACCAGAGCACAGAAGAGGTGGGGGGGGGGGGAGAAAACCGGGTTCAAACCTGCTGTTAAAAATCCCCCCTTTCTTGGTTAGTTCATTTCAAAGTCATTTCCAAGCGATCTGAAGCCTTTTATTTGTCCCTATCTAATGATCTTTCAAAGCCCCTCCCCCCCCTCCCCTCATCAGGGGGCAGGCTCACTCGGAGTGCTGGCGCCTGCAGCCCCCCGACAGACAGCCGGGCAGCCCCCCCGTCAGCACCGCGAGAGCGATCCCCCCGCCCCAACGGTAATTCTGTCCGCCGCAGGTGATGGTGGCAGCTGAGATTCAGGTTTAATTTTAGCTAACAGAACCCGGGGCATGAACATCTTTGTGGAAGGAGGCCTGTGTCTGCTGCCTGTGAAAACTTTACCAAGGTGCGCTGGTTCTGAATAAGGCGATTTCTTTGGTTTTAATAAAGCTCTCCTGTTCTCCCCTGCTGCCGTCCTTTGATGTTGACGAGATGGGCGCTTAACGGAGCGTTTCTAATTTAATGGTTCTGTTTTTCTGACTTTTTCTGACTCTGCAGATGAGCTGGTTTTCTGAATTGTGCCGAACAAATCTAGCCTGGTCCAGGCATCCCCTGGGGACTGCTTTTTGATATGCGTCGTCTCAATAAGATAGCGGAACCAGTTTTTCTGCTATGAATATTAATTTTTTGTGCCGTGCTCTTAAAAAAGCAAGTGGGATTTTATGACGTGAGCCAGATTTCAAATGAATTGTTGTTAACTTTGATTTGATCACAGAGGAAGAATGTACCTAATTCATTGTGTTTAGGGATGGAGAACCTAAGGGGTGCTTGTTAAATAGTAAGAAACACTTGCTTTTGAGTCAACAGCTGAGGTTTCCATCTTGTTTGAAGAGAAGATCGGCTCTTCTCTCATCCTGTAGTGAAGTAGATCTTGATTTAATGCAGATGTGTTAGGGCACCTCATTCCGGTGCATGCAGGCTTTCCCTAAAGTGAAAATGGGTAAAACTGTGTAAAACTTTATATTGATCCAGTTTAATCTTGGTCTCATTTACCTTTATTCCTCATGTCTGATATACAGAAATCTAGGCAACATACTGTGTCATGGCCTCTGAAGGCCACTAAATTAAACTTTTAAAACTTCAGGTGGAAGTACATATGGCTGTATAGGTCATATTACATGTGCAGTACAGTATATGCATTGATCTGGTCTGCATCATAAAAATCTGCAGGTTTGAGAATGATTTTTAATAGAACATGTACGTTAGCTTAGTTCAGGGTAAGCTAATAAAACAAGATGTATTTATTATAGGGTAATTGTACGTTTAAATGCACAGCGTAACCAATTGGATAGCTGAGACTGTCAATTGAGCATGGACAGCACTGCACGCCAAATTATTTTTAGTAGCAAGCTGTAACAAACTGATCTCACAATTTCAAAGTACTTGGAACTCCTGCGCTTTTCTCTGAAATGATCCTCGCTTTGATTTTCGGAGGTGTAGAATTGTTCTGGAGCACCAACTTGCCTTTGGAAAGTGTGAGTCTGTCTGTGAAGCACTGCGGACTCCGTGCTCCTGTTTATCAGGAGGAGGGCGCAGGAAGAAAAATTCCCAGGTCTAGTTGTGCTGCGTTTTTTCTAGGCATCTGGAAGCTCGGGGCCCTGGGAATGTTGCGCACATACGTGCTTCTCAGCAGAGAGCAAGAGGCTCACTGTGCCAATGTCCACACTGACAGTCCTGTCATTCTCAGCCACGCACAGCTGGGCAGGTGTTGACCAGGAGCTGCTCCTTCTTCTGAGACATTTGCACTTATGTTTGTGTTTGAAACATGTCTAAAGAGCAGGGTTCCATGCATGTACAGTATATGAAAATAGTAGTATTTATATACTACAGTTTATCACCGAGTCAGCTCCTATTAGATGGCCATTGATTGCATCTCAGATGTGTAGCGAGTCACACTTTCCCCTGTTGTAAATATTAACACAATTACTGCATAGTATGTACTCCAGTGCTATAGGGAAGCACAAGACTTTGGAAAGTACTTATGCTTGTCTAGAACCTGTCACATTAAAGATTACTATTGAATTGTTTTTACTTAGTACAAATAAGTTTAACTCTGTTTTTCATAATAATTAATTGGATTAATTGGATTGAGGTAGACGATGTGATCGCTTATAATGTCCTTTCTAATTTCTGAACACTTGAAAGCCATCACTGTGGTATCAGGTTAAGACCCTTATTTATAGGGCACAGGTAATACAAGGCTTACATCCTGGAAATGCAGTGCTGTTCATGTGGCTAAAGTTACAACTGGCCACTTCATGCAGATCTTCAGTATTAAGAATATATTAAGATATTAAGAATCCATTGTTTATATTATGTTAACTTCACAAAAAAAAGTTTTTGTCTGGAAACTTTGTGGTTGCAGATGGTTATTATGAATCAGGACAATGCCTTTCTTTGAACAGAAAGGAGCCTTTCTGGCTGTAGTCATTATTTGGAGGGCCTGCGAGTTAGTGAATTTGATTACGTAATTTAAATAAGTGCCTGAGAAGTAGTGCAGTTTGATGTCCTCTTCAGATGACACTTTCTGGTGCTTGTTTATTTTTATATATGTATGGATACTGTGTAATTAAATGGCCTGAAAATAACATTCTGGTAAAATCACCCCTCCTAAAAAATTCCCAGGGTTTTTATTGCATGTTTATATTACTGTAATGACTCTAGGATCTGTGAGTCTAAAGCTTGACAACTGCATCTTATTCCAAAAGAGAGGGAGAATGTGACAGTTAAAAGCCTAATAAAATACTTCCCTTTTAAATGTGTTTTTTTTCTCCAGGAGTGAACTTGATGAATACTGTATACATCAGCAGCAGCAGCTCTGCAAAGGGGTCAAACAGAGTTCTTTGCTGCAAAAACAGTTTTAGCCTGTAGATGGAGCTCAAGGACTGCCAAACATGTCAGGAATGAAACGAGCTCTTCGGTTTTCGGAGCAGGATGTAAACTGGTGGGCAAGGCAGGGATGCAGTGAGAGTTCAACTTTCTATTTGCTCCACAAAAACAAACTTTTAAGTGGGCTATGAATGGGTCATGGCTGAATGATAGTGTCTGGACAGGCAGAAAGACGGACAGAAGCCGTAACCCTATGCCGTTACACAGGTTTTGCTTTTTGGTGTCTAGAATAAAAACATACACGCTAAAGCATAGAAGGTTCTGCAGTTAGTGGAGTGGTTTAGGTATTGTGGAGAACTAAGGTTTTAATTTAAAGCTACTGTAGCTTGCCACCCGCGATCCGTGTATCCTCCCTTCAGTGGCTAAAGAAACGTGTGTATTTTAACTGTTTCCTTTTTGACATTGCCAGGTAGTTGTTCAGGCACTAACTTGACAGTCTGTGAAATGCTGATTGCTGCACATCACAGGCTGCAAAGCTGGCATCTGATGAATGTTTGATGTTCTACAGCTGGAAGCACAGTTGGCAGCTGTGCCACTTTTCAGCCTGGTCTACTCAGATCTGTGCAGATAGGAGCCGGGCCGGGGCAGCCTGGCCCCGGAGCCTCTGAGGATGTCACCTGTGCCCTGCGAGCAAGAGAGCTCTGTGCTTGGCTTTGCATCAGTACAACCGCACGAACATAATCAGCACTACTTTTTTGTTGATCACAGTATGTTTTGGGCACATGATCATTTGTTTGTGGAGGGCAGGGAGGCTACAAAATGTACTGCTTTCAGCTTCTTCATATGGGACGTTAACTCACTTATGAGGTATAACACGTTTTGTGCGTTGTAACATTTTTATTTAAA